ACTCTAATATACAAGGGCCATTTCATTTTCTGTCATCCCTCTTTTTTGATCCCTACATGGCTTAGCATTCTTCACTGAAATATCTGCATCCTATCACATTTTACACATTTGCATCCTGCGTGGCAGCATATTTAATCGAAATATTTTTAAAAAGGGGAAGAGATTTTTAATTTCACGCACATATATCGTTAAATTGCGTGTCAGCTTACAGTACGGTTGCTGACAGACAGTAAAAATATATTATGGGCAATGCTAAATCATATATATTCAATCATATGAATCAAGAGAAGCAAACACCACAAGACGCCTGTAGGTAGCCTCTGATAGCCGCAAATGCATTAAATCCTGTCTCAACTAACGCTAACTACATGTGAGCTATCCAAAAATTGCGGGAGAAGATACATCCGTACGAGCAATTTAAATTTTGTGACGGAAAGCGCGATTCTGAAGGAGAAGCTGAATTTGCCCCTTCACCCCTTGCTGATTTCAGCCTACATCTAAAAGCAGTCGGAGAAGTTGCTGCCGATTAGCTTGCTTCACCTGCCATTTTTAGATCAATCTGGCATACAAAATGGGTGACGCATTTGAATCATCTTAACCCTCCCAGAGGGTGGAGTGATCAGTGAGCGATCTGATTGACGCTTGAGTGAGGGGCTGATGAAGGCCTCCTACTGGTAGTTTCTGGGTAGTGGATCTGTCTGCGCTGCATAAATAGGGCTGGCTGGCAGACGTGTTTGAGTTTAGAAAAGCCCTATCGAGTTAGCGTCCTATTCCGAAGTCTTTCTGTCCTGCGCTGCGACCATGCCTGTAACTGAACAGCCGGATTTGCGTGAATGGGAGGACGGCCTTTGTGACTGCACAAACGACGTCAAGAATTGTAAGTATATCGTGCAAATATTAACAGCTCACTGGATTCTATTTATCTGGGTCCCCACACATTTTGTTCAGCAGTTCTCGGAATTTGTTTATGCAGTTGTTGGAAATATCTTTAACAAACTCTAGCAAAGTTATTTCGCACCGAGTGTGCGTGAAAATGTACCCCACCTGAGTGTTGATATAGGCGTTTAGTGTAAATAATCCTCTTCCTGATGTTCTTATGCTAGCTTGCAATTCTCATACGGTAACAATTGCCTTGAATAAATACCGATTCCAATCAATAAAAGCAGAATGAAACAGGAAGGATTCGCCATAGGATAAAGAATTAAGGATCGGATGGAATGAGATGACTCCTCAATCTGAAAGTCCTTGTATTTCGTCGTTCAGATATTCTACTTGTAGTGAAGACATGAGGCTCCCTGGATCATCTTCAGCTATGTTTAGTCAGAAACTGATCAATGTCTGTGAATTGCATCTTCTTCTACTTCTATTTGTTCTAGGCATGCTGACTGCCTTCTGCTGTCCCTGCATGGTCTGCTATGAATATAAGCTGCAAGATGAGGGTTGTGCAGCTCCGCTGTGTGTACTGCACCCAGTCCTCGTGCTGGCTTCGCATTATCGCGGCAAACAAAATATCGAGGTATGCTTACTCCCTGTTTCTTTGGTCTATTCTTTTTCGCAGCAACCTAATGTCATTTAAATCGGTTTTCAGCAAAAGCTCAGCCTGATTTATATGACTGTGGCATAGGGAATAATTCTGTGATTCAGCCTAACTCGATTTTGCAAGTCTCCCTTAAATCACATGCGTCACATTTTGTGTGATTGTCCTGCATGCCTACCCAGTTTATATAGGCATTTGTACAGCCATCTTTTCCGACGCCCGTCATTGATATTTCGGTGATGTTTACTGTTTTCATGAAATAATAGCGTCTGTTTTGATTTCTCTGCACGACACACGTACGCACACAGGGAAGTCTCATAAAGGACTGCTGTGTCAGTACCTTCTGCATGCACTGCAAGCTCTGCCAAATTCACCGGGACTACGAGGCCAACTAGTTTTGGGGGAAGCGGATGAAGCCGGCTAGCATCGTCCCTGCCTCCACTCTGACAATGCATTAATGTGGACCAACGAAAGCCCAACTCGCACCGTCTTCCACCCTGCCGAGTGCCAGCCATTCATGTTATTTTTGTACATACTGTTTTAATTACAATTTTGCCAAGGCCTCAATCCACTCTGGTCTTATTTCTGTCTCTTCCAAAGAAGTTATCACTGGTAATTTGAAGCATCTTTTTGCTTATGTATTTCCACAGTGAAAGCTAGTACCTGCGTAGTGTTTCGTTTTCACGACCAGCAATCCCTTGAGAAAGGGTATCTGCTCTCGTTCCTTTCAGTGACGATGCTGTTGCTGTATGTTTGAAATGGATATTTAGTTTTACTGAAACGCATGTACGGCAGGCAGTGTTATTAACTTACCCATCGAGGAGTCAACAGATTAATTTTTGGGGTACGTTTCATAGGAGACGTTATCGCAATGCCTACATAAGTGTGTAGAAGTTTCGCAGGAGGTTCCATATAAAACAACGTACAAAAATTCTCAGAATTTAGTTCGGTTTTCCCGCTCTGTGACTTGAAACGTTATCGTTGCGTTGTTCACAAGTCTGCCTTCTGCGAACTCTGTCGGTCACTGTGTCCAATATCGCCAGGACAATCAACAAATGGTTCAGTTTTCATCAGATTCAGTAAAATCGAGACTTCGAGGCCAACTAGTGTGGGTGGAGGAAGGCAACTGGCATCGCCCTTTCCTCTATCTTGACATTTAATATATGTGGTCTATCGCACGTACGGCAGGCTGTGTTATTAACTTGCCCATCGGGGAGTCGAAATGGTAATTGTTGAGGTTCCTATCAGAGGAGACCTGGTCGCAATGCCCACATGAGTGTGTAGAAGCTTCGCAGGAAGTTCGAATTAAAAAAATGTTCAAAAAATTTGCAGAATTGCGTTCAATTTTCCCGCTGTGTGACTTGAAATATATTCGTCGTGTTGTTCAAAAGTCTGCCTTCTGCGGGCTCCCTCGGTCTCTGCGTCCAATATCGTTCCCAGATGGCTGACGAAATCCTAAATGTAGACTGGTGCGTGTAGAGTTTTGCCGCATGTGACCGCTATGCGCTTACGCCAGGACAATGAACAAATCGTTCAGTTTTCAGCGGATTCACTAAAATCGCAAATAATACAACGTCATTAGCCGACAACCTACCATCTCCGATGATGTCGGCATAAACATAATCCGTGAGCCGAAATTGGATTCTGACATGGATCTTCCAGATTCCTCCTAAATGAACCACGTTTAGCGCCATTTCACTGAAATTTGAAAACCAACATATATTTGCTTTCATTCGCATTTTCGGAGTCAATTCAACGCATAGCATTGGCGAGGAGGCACTTGAGATATAGTACTTTGTTCATATTGATCCAACTGTGAAAATCATGGCGCCTCGGTGGGATTCGAACCCTCGCAATATTTATTTCCTGTCATTCGCATTTTTGGAATCAATTAACAGGATAGCGTTGTTGAGGAAGTACTTGAAATACAGTACATTGTGTTCTGTGATTACCTGATCATCCGCTGTCATAGCGCTCATGTAGGCTCTCCTATACACAGATGAAGTTTAAAAAGTACCAGCGTAAGCTAAGTATTAACGCATTCTGTTGTACTGAAAAATCCCTCGACCGTGGATAATGAGGATATAATATGAATAACATATTTCTTACTCTCTTGTGTGTGATGATAATATTAAAAGTATTAGATTTGTTTGTTTGGAAGCTTAAATTTTCAGGAATCCATCATGTAATTAAATTTTCAAGGGGGCAGATGGCCATTATGTTGTACTCGAATTCAACAGCGCAAACAAGCAGTGCGTCAATTTTAATAAAATGTAACTTTAATGGATTTCTTATCTTTCGACCAATCCTAAAAACGAATAATTGAAACAAATCCCACAGATTGAGCACAAGGGTTTTTTGCAAATAAATGTGACCAAAGGGCGTAATAGTTAAAGAATGCTTTACATGCTTGTAACCCGTCCATCTGGCAGTTGTGCCACTTTTGAAACTTCAACTCAAATATAAAAGAGCCGTTTCATTTTCTGCTATTCGCATTTCTCATGCCCAGATAAAGAGAGCGTGCAAATCAGAATTTACTGTTTACAAATCAATGTACGTCTCTAATATCTGTATTTTTTACAAAATGTCGAGAGAGAAAAAGTACATAGCAATCAAAGAATTTGACCAGTCAACGAAATATTTTCCTCAACTTTCCCATATCCCATTCCCTTCTGAACAAATTCGAAAACTCCTTGAACCAAAGAGACAGACTAGTTATTGCCATCAGCTGTCAACATAGCTTATGCTAATGGTTAGGCAGAACATCGTTTTGAACAGTCCTGACTCCAGCCTATCTCGAGTTTACATCCTGACGGAGGGCAGAGGCGAATTCCGGGCAATAGATGAATTACCCGACTCTCGTGGGTTTGGTGCAATGCCAGCCAGCGCAGACTCACAATGGTAGCGACTTCTTTAAACCAGTGGGTATTCGTCCATTTCGGGTGCGGAGGACAGACTACTTGAGGGCATTGAACTTGGCAAGGGTACAAACTTCTCCTTATAGACTACCGAAATCTCACTCTATTCGCAACCGCGATTTGATATCGAAGTGCCCTGTGCTGGACTATGAATTAAGCTACACAAAGCGACATTAACATCTTTTAGCGAACGCAACTGTCTTTCTGGCCACAATGGCTCTTTTACCTCATCATCGGACATGCTGATCGCTGTTAACATTCTCCCCCCACCACAACCACACACATGACAGTTGGACGGTGTCTACTCTCGCCGATACAAACTAAGATGCGAGTTCCTGGAACTATCTGATAAGAGGAAGATGCGATCGCTGAAACAGGAGCTTTGTTTGCCAGACGTTTCGTATTCTCGCTCGTACGCACCATCAGAGACAGTAACACAAACGGAGTGATTCGAGCATAGAACGATACAGCTGCCTGCTCCAATTTCATCCAACAACGACAAACTGGTGCGCAACTTGTCGTCAAAGGAGCTGGCGGAGGAACAAATGCAGGTTTTACGGCTTGAGGCCTCATTCAACATAGCCGATGTAAAACCTGCCAATATGATCGTAGCAGTGGAATCAATCCTCAGCCAGACGAGAGCGACAGACGAAACGAAGAACCTCAATCGACACCAAGTTTCCTCCCTCCTCATGGCCCATAGGCTGCGCGACGTGCTTTCCAAGGTCGAAAGCGATGCACTTAAGGAACTCAGGGCCGACAACGACCTCGTTATCGTGCCGGCGGACACGGGGCGTTCAACGGTCGTATTGGACAGGACAGATTACAATCAAAAAGTCAAGATCTTGTTGGAGGACCGTCAGTCCAATGTTCCATGCTGATCCAATCACAAAAAAAACGCTGACACGAGAAATAAACGCGACGCTGTTGGCAATGGAGACCTCGGGTGCAATATCGCCAGTCGACTGACGCATGGCGAGAGCCCAAGAAACGCCCTAGCCCGATTTAACGGTCTCCCAAAAGTACACAAATATGGCAGTCCCCTCCGGCCTATCGTATCACCAAAAGGCACTCCGACCTGCGGGCTGGCAAAGTGGCTGTTACGACTTCTCAAAGTTCTGACCTGCAATTCGAACACCGCAGTCAGCTCGTCAACGCAATTCTTGGACAAAACTTAAAGGAGTAAGTCTCCTGCCAAGCGATGTCATGGTTTCCTTTGATGTCACGTCCCTTTTTACTTCTATCCCGCAGGACCTGGCAGTCGAGGCCATCGAACTACTCCTACGAGAGAAATACGACGAAAGGGAAAATCGCCTCCAACACGCGCAAATCATTCAGCTTTTGAAGTTCTGTCTCAAGACATACTTTACGTTCGACGGAAAAATCTACGAGCAGGTGAAGGGAACGCCAATGGGTTCGCCAATTTCGGGATTCATAGTCAAAAGGCGGTCCTACAACGGCTGGAGATGCTGGTTTTCCGACAACACCGACCGAAATTCTGGGCTTGGTATGTGGAGGACACCTTTGTCGTCATCGAACGGGATCAGATACTGACATTCAAAGAGCATCTCAACGCGGTCTTCCCGGACATTCAATTCACGATGGAGGAGGAGGAAGAGGAGAAGGAGGAGGAGGAGGAGCAGCAGCAGCAGCAGGAGGAGGAGGAAGAGGAGGAGGAGAAGGAGGAGGAGGAGGAGGAGGAGGAGGAGGAGGAGAAAAAAACCAATTTCAGTGAATATTCCCATGCTACAATTGAAAAGTCAAATTGGCGAACACGTTTTTTCAGTAACTCTTCATCAGGTCAAAACGGTTACAATGAAGTTTAAGTTATGCGAATTACATGACTTATAAATGATTCGGGGACAATTAACATCGATCGTTCCCACGCCACTCGCATGACGAGGCGTGCTATGGCGTGGTCGGCGTGTCGTGGTAATTGGGTTCGGGGGGCGAGGAAGAGGGGGGGGGGCATAGGCTGTGAGTACGTCGTGTACCTTGTGCACCCACCCTGGCATCAGGAGGTTGGGGCGACGTTGGGGTCGGCGTCGGCCACGGAAGACAGAGCGCCTGTGTCAGAGTCTTCTGACAGCGTAGCACTGGATTGGCTAGCCGTATAGCCACTGCCTCAGCTGTAGCTAGCACCCGTTGGCATAGGCCTTTGGAGAAGCCTGCTGGTGTCCGGTAGACAATCTGAAAGGCTTCTTTGGCATCGACTCGGTGATTCGTATCGACAAGATGTGCGAGAATAGAACTCGAGATCGATTTCTTCTCACCTTTGCCTAGCCAGGCCGGTATGTGTTCACGTATAAGTGAATGAATAAATACACATTGATGTGGCCTGCAATGGGAGTCGGTCTATACCTCCCAAGCGTAGGAGAGGAGAGGCGCTTGGAAAAGAGAGTACGTGAACACATGCCGGCCTGGCTAGGCAAAGGTGAGAAGAAATCGATCTCGAGTTCTATTCTCGCACATCTTGTCGATACGAATCACCGAGTCGATGCCAAAGAAGCCTTTCAGATTGTCTACCGGACACCAGCAGGCTTCTCCAAAGGCCTATGCCAACGGGTGCCAGCTACAGCTGAAGCAGTGGCTATACGGCTAGCCAATCCAGTGCTACGCTGTCAGAAGACTCTGACACAGGCGCTCTGTCTTCCGTGGCCGACGCCGACCCCAACGTCGCCCCAACCTCCTGATGCCAGGGTGGGTGCACAAGGTACACGACGTACTCACAGCCTATGCCCCCCCTCTTCCTCGCCCCCTGAACCCAATTACCACGACACGCCGACCACGCCATAGCACGCCTCGTCATGCGAGTGGCGTGGGAACGATCGATGTTAATTGTCCCCGAATCATTTATAAGTCATGTAATTCGCATAACTTAAACTTCATTGTAACCGTTTTGACCTGATGAAGAGTTACTGAAAAAACGTGTTCGCCAATTTGACTTTTCAAAAAACCAATAGGCCTTCCGGTATGTCCTCGTCTGTCGCAAAGATGGTGGTGGCCTAAAAACGAAAGTTTTCAGGAAAGCGACAAATACGACGCAAATACTGAACTTCACTAGCAACCACCCGATCAGTCACAAACGCAGTTGCGTAAGGGCACTATACCGGCGCGTTGAGACGCACTGCAGTGAAATGGAAGACAAGGTTACTGAATTACAATATCTTCGACGGGTAATGAGAGCCAATGGTTACCCGCGCAACTTTGTCAACCAGTGCATACGAAAAGGACACCAGAGACCAAATCCAACCCGCCCCAAATTTTGGCGAGCTCTTCCGTACGTGCAGATCGTCTCGGAAACCATCAGTCGTCTTCTCACTCCACTTGGAGTCGGGGTTGCACATAGGCCGGAGGCAACTTCTGGAGTCGTTAACCGGATCTGGTGCAGTTGCGGATAAAGCAACTACGTCTGAGAAACTGGGAGATCGCTTCGTACGTAGACAGGCACTGTCTGTCCACTGTTTCTGCTGATAAGTCGTCCTTGGAAGTGTCTAATCTTAGATTTGGAAACTTTTCATTGGCAAATTCGGCAGACAGGTGAAAAAAAAAGTAGGCAAAATAGAGGTTCGAAGGCCGCGATGCTTAAGCTTACACCTTCCTCTATTTCAAGATACTCTTACCAAAACGTACAACAAGCTTGCAATAGGCATTTTGCGAGCCTGTTGTCATGTCTACGGATTTTAAGGGCACATTTCATGCTTATTTCCCAATCTTCTAGTCTGGCCTTATCTCAGCAAATACATGATATTTACCAAAATAGAGTCATTCTCGGGGTCTTTGAAAGTGTACTTATACTATCGAAAACGTGAGTTAAGTTATACACTAGGAAGTTGTGCCATCATTTTGAGATATACTGAAGTTTCGACAAAATCACACTCAACGTATCCGATTATTATGTGCATTTATTATAAGCTGTTAAATTTGCATAGTGAAGCTTAAGTCAAAGTTTAGCACTGGGTACTCCGATATCCAGTCCCAAATGCGAATAGATTGAGATGTCAGTAGCCTAGAAGGAGATGATTGTACCCTTGCCAAGTGCAATGACTTCAGTTAGTCTGTCCTCCGCACCCGATATGGACAAATACCCACTGGTTTGAAGAAGTCGCTACCATTGTGAGTCTGTGTTAGCTGATATTGCACCAAATCCATGAGATTTCGGTAATCCAACTATTACCCGGAATTTGTCAGTGCCCCCTGTCGGGATAAGTTGCCTTTCAAGTATGTTTCTCTCGATAAATATGTACTTCATAATTCGACGTAATCGTTGCCGCAATTAATTAGTTTTAATGCAATTTAAAAAATATTTCGATTAAATATGCTGCCATGCAAACTGAGCGTGAAAATCAGTACAATATGACATTATGCGGATATTGTAATTTAAAAATTAAAATCATCTGGGAATCAGAAAGAGAGGAATGGCAAAAGATGTGACAGCTCTTGTTTATTAGGGGCCCAATTTCATAAAACACCTGTTCACAGGGCATGGTTATAGGAAGCAACCCGGCAGGGGACAATCAGATTTCGCGGACACTGCCTGACTCCGTTAATTAGCTGCCAGTGTGAAGTATCCCAATTTTATTTTAGAAAATTTTCCTTAACCTGAACACTAAACCTAAACCTTAATCGGAATTCAGAACATAACTCTAACTGGAACCCTTAACCATTACACAAACCCTAACCGTTACATAATTCTCAGCCTGTCACCAGTCCAGACCCTAAAACTGACCGCACCTCCAATCCGAAACATCAGGTTGCTCTTTCCTCTTTTATCTCTAGCCTCTTTCCCACTGACCATTTCAGCATCCGTCTTCGGCTTAATCCACCTCCAAAGCCCACAGTTAGGGTCAGGAGAGCCCAACTGACTCCTGAGAAATGCTTAACAATCTGTCTGGGGATCAGATGAATAGACTCCGGTGAACTGTGAATATTTGTAAGACATACAGTGCGTGACCGATGTCATGAAATGTTGGCCAAAATTCTGGTATTCGCTTCCGATTAGGAAGAATTGCTTAAGTGGGGTTGTTGTACTGATTATCATGCAGCATAACCCTATGCAATTTTGAACTCGTCAGGATGTCGGCTTTGAATGCACTTCTTTTTGACCTCCTGCAGAAACCACACTCGGTAAAAGGTGAATACTTATGTAGCATGCATTTTTCCTATTGATTATCGATGGTCTTATAAATTCAAATATATTTTATAGAAAACATGCACAAAAGTATGCTTTATTTTGCTCATTTGGTAGGAAATCACATTGTCTTCATATTTTATGTCCAAAAAAGTGTATATTTATGTTTCAAAAAAGTTTCCTAATCCCGAATAATTTTTAGCCTGATCTGCGAACGCATCAGCCTTTAGCAATTTCAGTCTACAAGGTGCATGCTTTCCGCTTAAAAACAATCATATATTCCTCTACTCCTTTAAGAATATACTACATTGGGTTCGCAAAATTTTGCAATGGATCCGGACTATGTTGCACATTTTATGAGGAGCACTAGTAAGCGTACAAGTGCGGTCTTGCATGCATGGACATCGCACGGTCTTAAAAATTTCATAATAAGAAACTTTTTTAAAACCTAAATATACACTTTGTTCGGGCATAAAATAAGAAGACAATGTAATTTCCTATCAAATGAGCAAAATAAAGCATATTTTTGTGCATGTTTTCTATAAAATATATTTGAATATATAAGATCACCAAAATCAATAAGTAGTCACCTTTTACCGAGTGTGGTTTCTGCAGGAGGTCAAGAAGAAGTGCATTCAAAGCGGCTTTTTAAAATCAAACTCGTCTGCCAGACCTATTTACGCAGCACAGACTGATCCGTGACCAAGAATCTACCATTTGGAGAAAATGCAACGGCCCTTATATATTTGGGTTCAATTTTCAAAAAAAAGGAGCAAGCGTTCGATGGACAGGCTACAAGACCACAATCAAACGAAAATTAACGCATTGCTTGTTTGTGCTACCTTGCGAAGCCCGTAGAGTCGCATGTGTGAGTCGAGATTACATCTCCTGCCACGATGATCCTGTGTCTTTCTTGAAAATGTCAGTTAATATTGCATTCCAGAATTCATACGCTGCCAAACTAACAAATCCAATCTTTTTGAAATATTGTCAGCATTCACAAGATAGTGTGAAATATGGGAGTCAAATTAAATCACCATTGTCACTTCGTTGAGGGATGGTGCGGTATCACGCAGGGTGGAAATGTCAGATATAAGCCGGCAATTTTGCTACTCATGGGTGTAGAGGAGAGTCTGTTTCAAAATGCTGACAATGGATTACCAGATTGTCACCGAACGCAAAGTAGTTAATTTCAAACGCCATTTCAACAATGTCATGCTGTTAATTGACTCGTGATGCTCCCCAACGATTTAAAAGTAATGCCATTAACAATCGGGGATTGCACCCAAAAAATCCGTTACCTAGATATAATACATTTAACATTGGACTCAAACGCCTTCAGGCTATATCGGTGGTTGCAGGCACACTTTCACGCACTACTTGGACTTTCCACGACGGTCTAACATGGGCTGGCCGAACGAACGTCGCAGGAGGTTACATGGACGATGGTAGCTGTTACCCAATCCCGCCCATCTTTACACACGTACACCTGAGTATACGGCATAAATTCGCATTATGGCAGTTTATTGCAAAAAACATAAATTTTAAATAAGATAGGTCTGCACAACATGGAACTGGAACAGTTTCAAGGCATCTGTCAAAGACATGGCATTGAGGCCAAACCAATGCCCATACTGTACTTCGTCTACGAGAGCCCACACAGCTTGACCACATACAGGGACTCCCTCGTAGAGT